TTATAGACTAATTCGGTGATCATGCAAACACAGCCTTGTCATGAAGAAAGGTTTACTGTGGTACTTGTGGTTTCGTTTTCTATTATAGACTAATTCGGTGATCATGCAAACACAGCCTTGTCATGAAGAAAGGTTTACTGTGGTACTTGTGGTTTCGTTTTCTATTATAGACTAATTCGGTGATCATGCAAACACAGCCTTGTCTTGAAGAAAGGTTTACTGTGGTACTTGTGGTTTCATTTTCTATTATAGACTAATTCGGTGATCATGCAAACACAAGCCTTGTCATGAAGAAAGGTTTACTGTGGTACTTGTGGTTTCGTTTTCTATTGTTGGGAGTGCCACCCAGTATAATATCGTTCTCTAATCAGTCAGTTTCCATCTCCACTGGGGTAATTATCTTAAATAGATTGATGATGACTGGATGAGCATTAGACCGGTGATGTTTTTGGGATATATTTCTTAGCCTACCTACCTAGATCCCACGCTGTTCGACCCCCGCTTTACCTTGGCCGACTGACTTAAAGATGCCTCGAAAAGGACCGGCTCTGTCATCCTTCACGTGCTTACTTTCGTGTGCTTGATCTATTATGCTGACATCCCCGGGCAGTGTGCAAGAGCTCGTGTGATTGGCCAAATATCGTATGTGCACGAGTGACCACGTGTACCGCCAAAGGGCTTAATGCTTCAGCAAGTGTAAATAAATCAATCATCATACATTCGTACTACAGTTTGGACACAGTACGTCTTCTGTTTTACAGACCAACGGTCGAATACAGTTATACATTCTTTATTTTGAGTACCGTTTAAATCCCATCATCGCCCCTTTCAACCGTGGGGGCATTATAATGTTATTGTCAATCCCACTAGTCGTTGGTAAAGACCAGTCTAAGAAATGGTTGTAGATGTTGTTGACTAGGGACAGCTACCGCAGATAGCCCTCGAGTAGCTTTACACGAAATTCAAGAGACAAATAAAGCAAAACTTTTAGTACCTTTAACCAGATATAGTGTGGTGAAGATATTGTTATACAGTCTTTACTTTCAGTACCTTTAACCAGATATAGTGTGGTGAAGATATTGTTATACAATCTTTACTTTCAGTACCTTTAACCAGATATAGTGTGGTGAAGATATTGTTATACAATCTTTACTTTCAGTACCTTTAACCAGATATAGTGTAGTTAAGATATTGTTATACAATCTTTACTTTCAGTACCTTTAACCAGATATAATGTGGTTAATATATTGTTATACAATCTTTACTTTCAGTACCTTTAACCAGATATAGTGTAGTTAAGATATTGTTATACAATCTTTACTTTCAGTACCTTTAACTAGATATAGTATGGTGTTATATGTTCTGTTCTTTCACTGAGATGTATTATTTATCTATCTCGTGAAGAAAAGGGGATTGATGTACTACCTTTCTATATCTAGTAAAGAGAGGGGGATTGATGTACTATCTATCTATATCTAGTAAAGAGAGGGGGGATTGATGTACTATCTATCTATCTAGTGATGAGAGGGGGTGATGTACTATCTATCTATATCTGGTAAAGAGAAGGGGGTTGATGTACTATCTATATCTAGTGAAGAGAAGGGGGTTGATGTACTATCTATATCTGGTAAAGAGAAGGGGGTTGATGTACTATCTATATCTGGTAAAGAGAAGGGGGTTGATGTACTATCTATATCTAGTGAAGAGAAGGGGTTGATGTACTGTCTATGTCTAGTGAAGAGAAGGGGGGTTGATGTACTATCTATATCTAGTGAAGAGAAGGGGGGTTGATGACTATCTATATCTAGTGAAGAGAAGGGGGTTGATGTACTATCTATATCTAGTAAAGAGAAGGGGGTTGATGTACTATCTATATCTAGTGAAGAGAAGGGGTTGATGTACTGTCTATGTCTAGTGGCTTTATACTGGTGATGTGTTGATGGCTGACAGTGGCTTTATGTGGGTGATATGTTAATGGCAGATAGTGGCTTTATACTGGTGGTGGACAGTGGTTTTATACTGGTGATGGACAGTGGTTTTATGCTGATGATGGACAGTGGCTTTATACTGGTGGTGGACAGTGGTTTTATGCTGATGATGGACAGTGGCTTTATACTGGTGGTGGACAGTGGTTTTATGCTGATGATGGACAGTGGCTTTATACTGGTGGTGGACAGTGGTTTTATGCTGATGATGGACAGTGGCTTTATACTGATGATGGACAGTGGCTTTATGCTGATGATGGACAATGGTTTTATACTGTTGGTGATTTTCCATTTTTGTTTCTTGAAATACTTTTCTTTTTAAAAGTAGTTAGGCGTCTTTAGAGTATGTGTCTGAGGAAACCTAACTTGTACTTTGGTTTTGCGAGATATAGTAATATTGGCTCTGGGCCAATGCTGGAGGAATAGCTAGTTACAAACACCTTCTGTAGTTTTGTATACGGAAATCTTTGTTAGCAACCAAATAAAGATTGGATTGTTCCTTTCTCTTCCCCAGGGTGTTATTGAACCGGACAGCGAAACTGTGTTCTCTCTGGCAGCGCTCGTGCTTCAGGAAGTTTCTGGAGATTACTCTGAGTAAGTAAAGAAGTAGAATTGATATCCCTAATACGTAAAGAATTAAAGAAACCAAAACCCACTTGAGTTGACGTTGTATCCTAATAAAACACGATATAATTAATATATTTACCTAACTATTCAAGTTTACTTTTTGTTAGTTTTAATGAATTTTTTGAAGTTTTAATTTTTCGCTGCACGTGTCAACGCTCGAAGGGGGGTAAGGATTTTTTTTTACCAGTTCACGTGACTTTAAAGGTATATGCATGTTTTGTAAATCACTGAAAATCAGAAGTTCGTCTAAAGGTACGAGCGCGCGTGGCTGTTAATAGCTGTTTCTGTTTAAATTCTAATAAAAGTCATTAGCAAGTTTTGAAGGCGATTGAACAATTACAGCGAGATTGTGCGTGAGTGGAGTTCTTAAGCAGTAAACTTGCATGTCTGGTTTGTCTTCATTAGGAAAATCCTAAGGTACCATAATGATATCTAACAAACGTTTCTCAATCTTCTATTACCCTTACTTCGCATACTCTTACTTTTGTATGCTTCTATTTTCCCTTTGTCCTGTAGTTAACCTCTCTGAGAATTAAGCCAGAGATCTTGTATTCCAAACAAAGTCTTGTTTTTTAACCAGAAGGATTTTCTACACCAAATCGTACTTGTTTTTTAAGCACAAGGATTCTATCCTTCAAGAAACATGTATTTAGCCTAATTCGTGAGGTTATATTATCAAAGCGACACTTTTGAGCTACAATAGAAACGGTATTGTTAAGACTAGTTTTATTTCAACGCGAGAAACTCCACTGAGAAATAAAAACGTCATTGATCATAATAAAACTGTATACCTTTGGTATGTTGTATGGACATATTAAAACTTCGATATAATATATTAATGGAATACTTCATCAATCTAAAATTCGGGTTTCGATACCCGTGGTGGGCACAATACGGATAACCCATTGCGCAGCTTGCTGCTCAGCACCAAACAAACACTTTATTAAAGAGGGCGTCTTTTTTGTTACATTTACAGAGATTATATATATATATACACTGTCTTCTTTCATATTGTACGCACACAGACCTTAGGTTGTGGAAACTGTTTATACTAAATAAATGATAATTTAAGTCACTCGAGTGACTTACAAACCAGTAGCAACACTGCAGTCATAGAAATGTAATTGTGACGTCACTTTAGGAACATCTCGTTACAGCTAACAAGTTTCACTTTTCTATTTACAGTCTGTATGATAGATTACTTTTAATGATGTGTTAGATAATGTGTCTTATCTCCTCAACAGGGGTTTATCGAAGTGACAACTTCGTGATTGTTGGGTATTCCCTTGTTAGATAGATAGCTCGAGTTCAAAATGAAAGGAAATATTAATTCTTATGGAATCTGAACTCTCTCCAACTACATCTGATATTCTTGGTGGTAATGTTACCGTCAACATTATAAATGACGACCGTGTGGGTTGATGTAACGTCAATGTATTAGTTTAATCAACCGGAAGTAACATGTTTCGTTTTGTTAATTGAAGAAAAGTACACTTCTTGTGGGCACAGATTACGTCACAATCAGAAGGTCGTTCATTGAGTCAGAAGTACTTTGTTTTTCCTAGAACTTTGTGTGGTGTTGCTTAATAACTACACAGGATTATGTGACATTCCCAACACAGCAGCTTTTAATAGATCATTATTTGTTGTCTTAATAACTACACAGGATTATGTGACATTCCCAACACAGCAGCTTTTAATATATCATTATTTGTTGTTTTAATAACTGCACAGGATTTTGTGGAATTCTAATTTTATTCGTGACATACAGCGTTTGTATATCATCGAATGTAATGCTAGTACTCGTCAGCTTTAGGTATCAGGCTATCTTAATGTTGTAAACAAAACATAATATGCGTAGTTAGGATGAAACTACTTATAACATAAATATGTAAGATTAAGAAACATTTAAAACAGACATGTGCTTTCTGACCCTAGGTTTGTGTTTTATTTACATTAGTACCAGCAATACATACATCTTTATAACCAATATCGTGATAACCGAGAAATACTCTTGATAACCAACATCAAATCTTGATAACTAACATCAAATCTTGATAACCAACATCAAATCTTGATAACGAACAATACATCTTGATAATGAACAGTACATCTTGATAACTAACATCAAATCTTGATAACGAACAATACATCTTGATAATGAACAGTACATCTTGATAACTAACATCAAATCTTGATAACCAACAATACATCCTGATAACCAACATCAAATCTTGATAACCAACATCAAATCTTGGTAACGAACAATACATCTTGATAACCAACATCAAATCTTGATAACGAACAATATATCTTGATAACCAACAACAAATCTTGATAACGAACAATACATCTTGATAATGAACAATACATCTTGATAACGAACAAACATCTTGATAACCAACAATACATCTTGATAACCAACATCAAATCTTGATAACGAACAATACATCTTGATAACCAACATCAAATCTTGATAACGAACAATACATCTTGATAACCAACATCAAATCTTGATAACGAACAATACATCTTGATAACCTACATCAAATCTTGATAACGAACAATACATCTTGATAACCAACATCAAATCTTGATAACGAACAGTACATCTTGATAACGAACAATACATCTTGATAACCAACATCAAATCTTGATAACGAACAGTACATCTTGATAACGAACAATACATCTTGATAACCAACATCAAATCTTGATAACGAACAATACATCGTGATAACCAATATCAAATTTTGATAACCAAGAACGTATCTTTATGAGCAATATCTTGATAACCAAGAACACACATTTCTTGAAAACTTATAACAACATGAGGATTTTTTTTATCTGAATGGTCACGAATGATTTCACATTCAATTAGGATTAAGTGAACTAAAACCTTATGAAAAGCCTTCAAACAGCAAATTGAAGTTAAAACTCAAATTCTGATCGTAGTTTAACCATGCTTGTCACGTGTTTTATTTGACGTAACCTAGGTACTTATCTTTACATTTGTAACTGTATATTTAATGAAGAACTTCAACTTTGTCTGAAATAGGTATTTATATCTTTCAATTTGTAACTGTATATTTGATGAAGAACTTCAACTTTGTCTGAAATAGGTATTTATATCTTTAAATTTGTAACTGTATCTTTAATGAAGAACTTCAACTTTGTCTGAAATAGGTATTTATATCTTTCAATTTGTAACTGTATATTTGATGAAGAACTTCAACTTTGTTTGAAATAGGTATTTATATCTTTAAATTTGTAACTGTATATTTAATGAAGAACTTCAACTTTGTCTGAAATAGGTATTTATATCTTTCAATTTGTAACTGTATATTTAATGAAGAACTTCAACTTTGTCTGAAATAGGTATTTATATCTTTCAATTTGTAACT